CCTGTTCTACACCAACTGCACTTAGCTGGGCTCGGTAAGGAAACAGCTTCAAGATAAGAGATGGAAAAGACGCTACAAATTTAATTTTTGTGTGAAAAGCTCACCACTTCTTGCACAAAATTCGGGAGAATTTAAAGTTTAGTTTATTCGAGATTTACTCCTTAGCCTTGACATCTGCTTGGCCATATGCTTTAAATTATGACCTTGACGACAATTTCAAGTCCACAGAGGAATGAGCGCTATCGACTTTACTGTCAGAGAATTAGAACCTGCGACGATTGAAAAGGCCAGAATCGAATTGAATGAAATTCATGAATCTATTCCAACAGCTATACAACAATTCAGGCATAATATACTGGACCAAGAAGGTTATTTTTTATAAATGTAACGCATGCATATTTTAAATTGGTCAAACTGCCAATTTTGTTTAAAAATAAACGAGTTACTTACGATTTCGGAAATATTTAAATACATACGCCAGAGGTTGGCAATGGCCATTATAATGGTTCACAGGTTTCATCATGTCCATTACCGGGTATACCTGGCAGTTGACGTCAACTGCCAGGTATACCCGGTCCTGGCGGACCACGTGCAAGCACTTAAACGCTTTCGTTTTCACTCAAAAAATTGTTTGAATAATTTTAAAAATTACGTTTTTATACCAGGTTTGAACGGGTGTTTAGAAGATGCCTTTCTCTTGCGCTTCCTGCGGGCACGAAAACACGATATGCAAAAGGCGCTCGCACTTTATATGAACTACTATGCTGTCCGTCTGCAATATCCGGATGTCTTCAAAAACTTGAAACCCTCCCTTGTGTTCCACGTTTTTTCGAATGGTATAGTCTCTATGCTGCCAGAGGCAACAAAGGAAGGCCATCGGATACTTCTTTTTCGACCAGCACTTTGGCAGCCGGACGATTGGCCTAGTGCAGATCTTCTGCGCGCCAATGTGATTGTTGTGGAGGATCTTTTGCAGGTAAGCCCTAATTAAGTTTAAGAGGAATTTATTTCCCAGCTTTAAAGACAGCATCGTGGATTCTTCCTAATTAGTTCTTTAATTGTGTGGGATTAGGTGAATTTGTAAATTACCGTCCGTATAAGTAACGCATCTAAACGCCTTTTGCTGTCATAAATTATGTAACACTTGTACTATAAACCGACAAATTTCTAGTTCATGTCGAATGATTGCGATGGGTTACGGGTGATCTAGGTTCTAATTGGTTTGTTTTTTAGTAAATACGAATATAAAATGTATCAGTTCTTCTTGAGTATACACCAATGAATCTGCACATGTCTAGTTGTTTTTCGACATTTTAGTAGGCAGAGCAAACATTTTACTGTTGTTTCAAAAATGTCGTAGCTAATATCAACACACTGCCTTGCCACTTTTAGGCAAATGCCTCCTCGAGATCCTTGCTCTTCTAATGCTTTATTGGAAATTGGGCTTTCTTATTTTATTCTCCATGGATGAAGCAGCATTGGAAACTATATCTACATTAATTTTTAAATAGTCTCAGGTGATGCGGTTAGAGAATCGAGGGCTTCTAAATATTTCGCTATTTTATATGCGGACTTGAAAGTGGACAAAACTCAAGTCGACCACTACAGTGTTCAAAAAATTCTATAGATGGAAGCCGCGTTGAGGAATTGAACTCCGAGCACCAGTAAGTGGCCTTTGCCAATCGAAAAATGCTACAAAAGTGAGACTACTAACTGGCAGGTTGATTTATGCAAGTTAAGTTTGAAGCAGTCGAGTAATATATAAGGCGAATTACTTCAGGCAAGTTTCCCTAAGTGCTGATGACACGTCAGTCACCAGTGAATTCATCTTAAGTGTAATCCAGCGTACATGTTAATAAAGTTAAGTGGATGCGTTAAAAATTCTCAGTATACTTTATTAGGCGCAGCTAGAAATGCTGTCAACGCATAGGGTCACTCAGTTCGTTCCGGAATTAAGAGTCAGGCTTTATTCTCCCCTCTAATTATTCCATGAGTCGTTTGTTTTTTAACACACACATACACAGAACTACCACGAGACTCAGGTGCATGGATTAGTGGTGTTGGTGTCTCTGAGCGGGTTCGGTTGGAAGCATGCATGTCAACTTTCAAATCTGGATTTTGCCCGACGGGTAGCCCGTCTCCTCCAAGACACTACACCAGTCCGTGTGAAGGCTGTCCACTTGGTGAATGAGCCCGTCATGTTCAGCCGCGTCTTCGCGCTCCTCCAGCCTCTGCTGAAGCCCAAACAACAGCGCCGTGTAAGTCCCCTCACTGCTGCTCGGTTTACCCTTTTATTTTTTCGTCATCTCTCTGTTGTTGGGGGGCTATAGATCTTAAATTTACCGCTGTGTTAAGTATTCGGATGTTCGAAACTACGTTTGACCTAGCAAATTAACGTTGCCTTCTTTACCATAAAGAAGGTTGATTTGCTTCGAATACTCTACAGTCGGTGACAAAGGATGCTATATAAACCGAAGCGATATATAGATGCTAACGTAGTTGAAGATACGAGGTCCAGATCAATTATTCCGTTCACCATCCTTCAACGAAGACGAATAAGACAAAAAGGCGCTTTCTTGAACCACACTGTATTTGTGTTGACTTTAAGCAAACATCTTATTTTTCATCATCAGAGTGGCAAGGCATGTGCTCTAGTTTGCCTACAGTATTTTCTAAGAAAGCATCTTTTTTCCTTCTTCGGCTGCTTTGTGGGATGATAAACGGGATATTTACTCAGGACCGGACGCACACCGATCCAGTTGGCTTACCAAAGTAAACAAACTTCGGGTGGGGTGAAATGGGTCATGTACACGTAGGTGAAGTCCGCCAACCTGTAATAGCGGAGAGGGACAAAATCATTTGGGGGAAACTTGATAGAGAACTGTTTCGGGCTTATTTGCATTCAGTCAGCAGAGCGTTACCCTCACCACCACCTAAGTTAGGATTAAGACAGAATTCATTAAACTCTCTAAGTCCCACATTCGAAATGCTAACTAATACGCATGTAATTCCTCACCAGATTTTGACGCCTGTGATACAGTCAAGGATACTACACCAGAAATCCGTTTTATGGGAAATTAAGTGTTGTTAGAAATTGGCGCTTGAAATGTTTATACACCACGGTATGCATAAAGCTTCTAATTGATTAACTTTAACCCGTTGCCCCAGGATTTATAAGTGGTTCTCTTAAAGGGTAATAACGTGGTCCACATCTACCATAGAATTAAACAAACGACAGAGGGCCTATGCAAGAAAACACAAACCAATATGTAAATTCGACTTACTGAGTATTGCACTTTGATAACCTCTGAGGCCAAAATAACCCCAGCCGTGTACAACTAGCCTCCATGAGTTTCAAATTTCTTTCGAATTGTCCAGTAAATTATTTTTTGTTCATTCTTTTTCTGTTAAATGCCAGAGATCACGCAGACTATGCAAGGTACTGCCAAATTTTATAGCACGTTATCTGCACAAATAGTTGAGGAGGTGCTTAAGCAAAGCGCCGCGTATAGATTTTCTTCGGGGGTGTGCTCTGCTATTAAAACTTGTAATCCAATCCAAGCACTCTTTTCCGTCTTTCTTTCTATACTTTTTCGATGCCCTTACAAATTCAGATATATTATATATCAATTATTAGACTAATTTTAAAAAGCATTATTCCGAAGGATTTGTTCAAATTAAAGCATTATGTTCTTAGGAGTCTTCGTCTACTTCGCATAGAGCATGCCATGTACACATTTTCTTCCAGAACAAAGCATAACACATTTGAAGGAGAGTTCTAACTCCTATTAATACCACTTGTTTACCTTGCTTGTCTCCCGTGTAAAATAACCAGTAGAGGTTATTCAGGTCTAGCTGGACAGTTTTGAGTGCGTTTAAGGTAGACTGGAGGACAAGCAAAAAAACCTATGAAGGTAAGGGGACCTGACGAACAGGCAGAAAACAACAAAAGTGCATTGTAAAACCCACGTGATATTAGGGCCGAAAAGTGGGCGTCTCTGTGCTATAGTAACTCAGGCAACCCGACCTTGTAGTGTTTGTTCTAACCGCATTTTTTTCTCAAGGTCACAGCAAAATATGGCACAAGACGAATTGGGCAATTTTGGCCATTACGCAGGAAATTTGCTCAGCCACTGACTGCACTCTAGGCTAGTATGCAACCACATCTCACTGCCCGGAGCCTATTCTACCAAACCATTGTCCATATTTAGGGCGCTTTCCAGTAGGCTTAACAAATCTGAAAATGGAAAAAGAAAACAGTCCGAAAAAGATCCCTGTTTCAATTCGATAAATGACAAAGATATCTTTAATAACAGGTTTGCCTGCAAGGCCCGCAATATTGTCTTATAACGCATTGAGCCCTGTTGTTAAGCCACCTATGGATATTTCAGGTTTATAGTCAGGGTTTATTTTACTGAATAAGTAGCGAATAGATAGCAGAAGTTTCCTAAATTATCGCCGTCTGCAGTGGCATGTGCTTCATTCTTCAAATTTATCAAATGTAAAACTGAGTTTCGACTGTCTCGAAAAACACCCTGCAGCAGGGCGGACGCAAAGACGAGGACTTGCGCATGATTTAGTTTATTGCGAAAGTGGACTTGCGCCGCTTCTAACAGGTCGCTCCTGCTTTGCCAATAAATTCAATAAGAACAGAGATGCGAGCATGTGCAATGGACTAAAATACCAAGTAGCGCATATACGCGTGCCAAACACGATAGAAAAAGATTTCCCACAAACACAAAAAGCTGTTTTTGAGCCCAAATGAGCGAGAGTCCCAGCAAAGATGAGCCATTGCAGCCTGGTGCTGAGAGAGGGAGATAATGTTATCCCGTCAGATTATAGTCCTACAACCTACCACAGGGATAGTTTATAGTGAGGAAAATGCGCTGAGTACCGTGGGTACAGGACACTCGGAGCTGACCTCTCTCTCTCTCAGACACCCTTCCGAACCGAGTAGCAACCTGATGCAGTGTTCGGAGTAGGTGCCTGGCGCGGGTGAACCTGAACCTATGCATGCCACAGCAAACACATATGTTTGGCGCCTGTTAAAGTTGCACTTCTCAAAGAACGCATTCCTAACCTCGACCTGGCCCCATCTCCCACGTGGCCCGTTATAGTGACACAGCTATGAACTCCATTTTTGATCATGACTATGGTGGCTGCGGCAGAGGCAATTGTGTCAGAACTTCTGTTTGAATAGCCCTTGTTTTTCTCGGTAACAGTTCCCAACAATTCACCGGTCTACCGCCGCCTACTTTTCAGACCTCTCGACTGAGTCGATCTGTATATTCCACCCAGTAATTGCGGTATATTGGCGGACGCGGTGCGGACGCTAAAACAATCAATATTTTGCGCACACGAAAAAGGTTTCCCACTAGCACGAACAGTTGCTTCTGAGCCCAAATGGGCGAGGCTCCTATCAAATTGGAGTACTTGCAGCCTGGCACTGAGAGAGGGAGATAGTGTTCTCCAGTCAGATTATAGTCCTACAAGCTACCACCGGGATAGTGTAAAAGGGCTTTATATTGTTTATTTTGAAGAGAATATGCTGAGTACCGTGGATAAGGGACCCTCGGAATTGACCTCTCTCTCCCAGAAAAAAACCGATCAACAACCTGATACAGTGTTCAGAGTACGTGGCTGGTGTG